AGCCCGACGCGGGGCTCGAACCCACGAACCGCGAGATCATGACCTAAGCGAAAGTCGGACGCTTAACCGACTAAGCCACCCAGGCGCCCCCATCAGAGACTCTTGAATACTGAGAACAACCTGAGGGCTGATGGAGATGGAGGAGAGGGGAAAAGGGATGATGGGCATGGAGGAGGGCACTTGTTGGGATGAGCACTGGGTGTTATATGGAAACCAACTTGACAATAAACTATAAAAGAAGAGAATAAATAAAGAAAAAGAAAAAGAAAAAAATAAAATTACAGCTCAGGGTGCTTGGGTGGCTCAGTCAATAAGGGTCTGACTTTGGCTCAAGTAATAGTCTCAAGGTTCCTGAGTTAGAGCCCTGCTTCAGGCTCTGTGCTTTGTGCATCAAGCTCAGAGCCTGGAACCTGCCCCAGATTCTATGTCTCCCTTTCTTTGTAACCTTCCCCTGCTTGTGCTCTCTGGCATGATCTATCTCAAAAATAAATAAGCATATTAAAAAATTTTAAATTATATATATATATATAATATGTATACAAACACACACACAGGAGCACCTGGGTGCCTCAGTCAGTTAAGAGTCTATCTCTATTTCAATTCAGGTTATGATCTCACTCTTCCTGAGTTGGGACCCTGAATCAGGGTCTGTGCTGTCAATGCAACCCTGCTTGGGACTCTCTCTCTTTCTCCTTCCCCAGCTTGTGCTATCTGTCCAAGTAAATAAGCTTTAATGTAAAATTATAGTAGGTTTCATTAAAATAATTCATCGTGGGGCGCCTGGGTGGCTTAGTCGGTTAAGCGTCCGACTTTCGCTTAGGTCATGATCTCGCGGTTCGTGGGTTCAAGCCCCGCGTCGGGCTCTGTGCTGACTGCCAGCTCGGAGCCTGGAGCCTGCTTCGGATTCTGTGTCTCCCTCTCTCTCCGACCCTCCCCTGCTCACGCTGTCTCTCTCTCTCTCCTAGAAATAAATAAAACATTAAAAAAATTTTTTTTAAATAATAATTCATCGGTATTTATATAGAATTTTTGGGGTTATATTTTGTCTCATTCTGGTTTTATAATTTCATAATAATATGCTTCTTTTTGTATGAGACTTTCCAAAGCATTATTTAGGTTTTGTTTTTACCTGTGTATTTTGTTATAGAGTGACAATTTTCAGCCCATTATGTTTTTGGACATTGTGAGTGTAACTCAAATATGAATCAGCTTTATGCCCTATGCCAATAAAATAATCTATTTGTAGAAATATTACCCTTGTATACTTTGTGACTCACCTTGTATATTTCTTTGCTTGGTTAGTGTCAGTGAGTGTTGTAGCATGTCTATGTGAATTGTCATCATAATGGAATTAACTGCATCATCTATTTATTGGTGAATATATTATCTGTACATATATTCATTGTGGTTCCCTTAGAGATTACTTAAAACATCTTAAAGGTATAACAAACCATCATATGTGCTGCTAGCACAGAGCTAAACAAATGATTTGAACTCATGAACTATGAGACCATGCCTTGACCTGAAATTAAGAGATGGACACTTAACCACTGAGTCACCCAGATGCCCCTCCCTATGTAGCTATAATTTTAAAGTGCGACGGTGTACTCATGAAAAAAGGAATATTTTTAATTACTGACCTGTCTTCATGGACACTAAAACTGTAAAGTATATTCTTTAAAATCAACATTGGAAACCTCTAGTGAAAACTTTTATGGAATGAAGCACTTAAAAGACATTAACATTTGTATTATGTTAATAGATCCATCCTATTACAAAGAGTTTAAGTGTATATAATCCATTATTTAGAATCAAGCAAATAAAAACCTTTCATTTCTTTAAATTTTTTACAGTGTATTGAAAGAGAGAGAGAGAGACAGAGAGAGAGAAAGAGAGAGAGAGAGAGAGAGAGAGAAGGGCAGAGAGAGGGGCAGAGAATTCTAAGCAGGGTCCATGCAGTCAGTGAAGAGCAGAACTTGGAGCTCACAAACCTTGAGATCACCACCTGAGCGGAAATGAAGAGTCAGATCTCAACACTCTGAGCTACCCAGGTGCCCCAAAACCTTTCATTTCTGAGTAAACAAACACCACCAAAGTTGAAAAATATGACAACAATCGCTTTATTAAAAAACATCTTTCGGATTAAATTCAGATACACTGAGGAAAGTAGAAAAACTAATTAACTTTTCCCGAAGTAAAATTACACTTACTAGGGGCGCCTGGGTGGCTCAGTCAGTTAAGCGTACTACTTTGGCTCAGGTCATGATCTCACAGTTCATGGGTTCAAGCCCCACATCAGACTGTGCTGACACCTCAGAGCCTGGAACCTGTTTCGGATTCGTTGTCTCACTCTCTCTCTGAACCTCTCCTGCTCACGCTGTCTCTCTCTCTCTCAGAAATAAATAAAACATTTAAAAAATTACACTTACTATTAAAACTCTTTCTTACATAGGAAGTTTACTAATTATCTTCTTCTATAAAATACATGTCCATGTCACATCAGAATGTTTGATCTAATAAATCATAAAGGAATCTCATATATAACTATTCAGAAAGTGAAAACACATGACAAGATCACAGGAACTACTTATTATACAGGACAAAAGTATTAAATGATTCAATTTATTAGAAAATAAGATAACAATTGACACTTTATTATAGGCTACAAATTTAAAATTCTAAATGTTCTAGGGGGCGCCTGGGTGGCTTAGTCGGTTAAGCATCCGACTTTCGCTTAGGTCATGGTCTCGCGGTTCGTGGGTTCAAGCCCCGCATCGGGCTCTGTGCTGACTGCCAGCTCAGAGCCTGGAGCCTGTTTCAGAGTCTGTGACTCCCTCTCTCTCTGACCCTCCCCTGCTCACGCTGTCTCTCTCTCTCTCTCCTAGAAATAAATAAAACATTAAAAAAAAATTTAAAAAATAAATGTTCCAGCTCCCCCATGCCATTAATTTATATATAAATGCCATTAATTTATATATAAATTGTAGGAAAATAATACGTGCTTTAAATTATTTTACCTTTGAAGAATGAAAATCATAGGATGGACATTTCTTATTTTAGTTAATACAAAGAAAATAAATTTTTAGAATTTTTTGAAAGTTTATTTGTATTTATTTTGAGAGAGAGATAAAGAGCAAATAGGAGAGGTGGAGTGAGAGAAAAGCAGACAGAATCCCAAGGAGGTTCTGTGCTGTCAGCAAAGAGCTCTCTGTGGTGCTGGAATTCACAAGCTCTGAGATCATGAGCCAACATCAGATGCTTAAACATCTGATCTACCCATGTGCCCCAAAAAATGGACTTTTCAAATGGAATAAACGATTAGATTTTCTCATTTTAGGAAGGTGCTTTGTCAGCTGATGAAATTACTGGATCTCACATTTATACAATTAAGATTTAAGCCTCCATAATATAGGAAAGCATAAACAAGATAACATGTGATATCCATCTTCAGTGTTCCTGAGATTTCTGCACCAAGCCCCAGTATGCCCACCACTACACCCTGACATACTTTTCACATGAGGCAAACCAGAACTCAGAAATGGATTAGCATAGAGTTCCTCAGAAATACAGAGATGTCCCCGAAGATCCTCCAAGCAATGGAGAACCAATCATATTATTGAGGCCCTCACTGTGGATGTGAAGAACCTTCAGTAGAACTGAAGGAGAATCTTAAGAGAATGTAAGATCATGCTTTTTTGGAAAGCAGATGTCTAGCTGAGAGAGAGAGACATAAAACTAGACTTCTCCAACTTATTTCCATTCAAGGAGAGCTGCTTAAAACATATTTAAGGTCTATCTTCCTCCTTTACATTTGGACCTTACCTCTGTCATCTGTTTCATTCCCACCTACCTGGGTATGAGGCTACTGTCTCCTTTCTCTTAACACGCCACAGCTCCTTCTTTTGTTCCAAAAAGAAGACCAGGTCTGGCTTTGACAAAACAAGATCTGTTTATTAGAAAAAAAGGAATATGAGTGTGCCTGGAGATTCTACCTTTCGACCCAGTATTAGACTCAGTAGAGAAGAGAGGACATTGTAGAATTCTAGAAAACGATTTCCCAAATGATGTTGCCCAACAACCCCTTTAGAACACAAAGGAGGGACTCTCAATGTTCGGTTCTTGATCTCCACTTCCAAATAATACCAGTATATTAATGAGTAGAAATTGGTATTTAAGGCATGTGAAATACCACTATATGCCACTCAATGTTTCGAATTCTCATTAATCTACAGAAATTATGATGTTACCCTAAAGAAGGGGAAACTAAAGCTGAAAGGAAACATCATGAAAATATTTCTTTCCATCTATAAATGCCTACTTCTTTCCCTTACTGCAGAGATCTGAATTCCAGTCATGCAAAGAGGAAGCCTCCAAGAGAATGACTTCAAAGGAAAGGACAAAACCCTGAGGGTGGTTTGGGAAGTCTGAAAGTAGTTATCCTCACCCAAGAAGAGGAGGTGTCCATAGTTCTCTAACATCACATCTCTGTACAGTTGCCGCTGACTGTGGTTTAGGATTCTCCACTCCTCCTGAGAGAATCCTATGACCACATCCCTGAATGTCAGCAGTCCCTGCAATAAATACTATAGTTACCAAGTGGCCACAGGCAGAGGTCATAAAGGTACCTAAGATGAAAGAGGTAGTTAATGTCACCAGCTTGTCCCCAAGTCCTGATCTTCAGTGGTTACTTGCTTGTACCCACTGACCTTAGTCCCATATTTTACTCAACCTCCTTTTCTACCTTATCTTTTACTTCAGGCAAAACACCCCATGGGCATTGTGTTCTGTGGTGGAAACAGAAAGTATCCAAAAAGACGTAATAAGTACCCTGAGGAAGAGCTCAGATTGGCCCAGTTTGAGCTTAGCCTCTGACTCACACCTATGCAAATGAACAATAGAGTAAAGCAGGGAGAACAGTTACTTTATCTCATTATGTTAAAAAGAATATTTATTTCCTTTAGAGAGACAACACAAGTGAGCATGGGGCAGGGAGGGAGGGGGAAAGAAGGGAGAGAGAGAGAAAGAAAAAAGAGAGGGAGAGAGAGAGAAAGAGAATGAGAATTCCAACCAGGCTCCATGCTCAGTGTGAAGCTTGACTTGGGGCATGATCTCAGGACTGTGAGATCATGACCTGAGCCTAAATCAAGAGTCAGATGCTCAACTGACTGAGCCACCCAGGAGTTCCCTTTTACCTCATTATAACACTAAAATCTCCTCCCAAAAATGATCACAAATCTCTTCTTATGTAACTACAGAGTATGCACAGAAGAGTTTTCTTAAGACTCATGTGCAAACCTTGTCACAAGCTCGACAAAGATGATGGCTTCCTCTTTCTTAATATCCACCCTAACCCTAAATAAAAGGAAACCTTTCCCCCTTCCTCTGAGTCCCTGCTTTTGGAAGTTACTCCTGTGATGTTGTTTCTTGTAAATCAATTTTCTTTTGTCTGATATCCCCACCTGTAGTGTTTGTGTGATTCACCAAGGACTCCTATTAGTTCAGTTATATTAGAACTGGTTCTGGCTCAGGTGAGTTTCTTGCTTTCTGCAGTAAGAAAATTTGTAACACAATATTACGCTCTAACATATTCTTTAACTTTGAGGTATTAACTGTTGATAATATTGTGTTTATTGAAGAGAATTTGTGAAATGAAGGCATCAACACAGGCATACACATTTTTGAATCCTGTACTTACATCATACAGTACATGTGGTGTCTATTTCTTAAATGGAAAGTTTTGGTGAGTTACAAATATATTTAGCAAATTCTAATGTGAATTGAAATTCATAACAGTGCATTAGAGATCTTGTTATAATGCAAATGCTGTTCAGGAGTTCTAGGACAGGGTAGGAGTTTGCATTTCTAACAAGACATTAGTCTATGGGCCAAAGGACACATATTTCAATAACAAAGAAGTAGAACTCAAAGACAAGAACTCTTGGAGGACTTGGAACTGAATGGGTCTTATAGCAATTACAAGTTCTACTAGAATAGCAAGACATATGACAACAAGCCTTTCCAAGAATTTCCTAGTAGACAGCCATCTAACAGTTTCTCATAAATTCATGGAAAATACATAATAATGATATAAGAGAACAAATTATTCTTCCACTTTTAGGAAATATTTTGTCAAACATCCAGCACATGGTAGGGATTATGTTTTAACACAGGTCATCTAAGAGTTGACTTAAAATGACACACCAGTCAATATACAGAGGGGACCCTAAAGGAATGTTCACAGCAGGTGTCAAGCCTGAGAAAAATGATGGAAAAAAGAAGGTACCCACGCAAAATTGATCTACCTTTATACATTCCATGCACAGATCCATTCTGAAAATAGTTATATACACATCAAAAGTGATAAAGTAGAAAATTATCAGGGTGACTAAGAAATATTTTCAATGAAGGGTGCCTGGGTGGCTCAGTCAGTTAGGTATCCAACTCTTGATTTTGACTCAGGTCATGATCTTATGTTTCCCAAGTTCAAGCCCCACCTCAGGCTCTGTACTGAGAGCCTGGAGCCTGCTTGGGATTTTCTTTCTCTTTCTTCTCACTCTGCCCCTCCCTCTCTGTCTCTCATAAAAAAAAAAAAGGAAAGAAAAAAAGGAAAAAAACATTTTCAATGACATGAAACTCTAGTTATAGATGATCATGCTTAGATCTTTTACTCAGCTATCAGCACAAACACATAGAATGATATAAATAACAGTATTTATAAGTCTGGTGTGGTTAGGGATACAAGAAGAAAACTGTTCACCTTCAGCACAGAAGGCTGATCTATAGCCTGGAACATGTTCCAAAACATTTTAATTTTTTTAATGTTTATTTATTTTTGAGAGAGAGACAGAGCATGAGTTAGGGAGGGACAGAGAGAGAGGGAGACACAGAATCTGGATCAGGGTCCAGGTTCTGAGCTGTCAGCACAGAGCCTGACATGGGGCTCAAACTCACAAACCAGGAGATCATGACCTGAGCTGAAGTTGGATGCTTAAGTGACTGAGCCACTCAGGCACCCCTAGATAGTTTTGATAAGCATCAAATAAAGGCTTATTCCTCCATTTTAAAAAAAGTGTTTATTTCTATTGTGAGAGATGCATGGGCTAACACGGTGTGAAAAGAGGAGGGCCAGAGAGGGAGAGAATCCCAAGCAGGCTCCAGTCTGTGTCTGTGTCACCCAGGCCAGGGGCCCATGGATAATACATTTTAAAGGGTCTCATGACTGCCATTACATCTCACCAATAGTTAATGAAGTAAATCATGACCACCAAAGAAATTTTGCAGAAGGAGTTTTATAAGTAGAAAGCTAAAGAAATATGTGACTGAACACTCTGTGCACCTACCCTCCTCCTTGAACATACATATAAGCTCCATGCAGTTAAAGTATAGCTCTTTCTGCCCAAATGTTCTATCTCTGTGCTTCTTCAATAAATTATCTTGTACCATACAGTAACTCAAGAATAGTATCTTGACCACAGTATTCAATAATCCCATAACATACTAGTTCTTGGAAAGCTTTTCTAAATTATTTTTTTAACTTTTAAGTTTATTTCTTATTGAGAGGGCACAAGTGACTGAGGGTGGAGAGAGAGACAGGGAGGGAGAGGGAGGGAGAGGGAGGAAGCAGGGAACATGTTCACCTGAAGCAGGGCATGTGCTCAACCAAAGCAGGTCTTGAGGTCACACCATACAGGACTGAAACCTACAAACCATGAGATCCTGACCTGAGCCAAAGTCAGATGGTTAGGGAGTGAGCCATCTAGGTACCCTGAGTTTTTTTTTATCTTTAAATGTTTATTTATTTTGAGAAAGGACGAGCAGAGATAGAATTCCCAAGCATGTTCCAAGTAAACAACATACAGCCTGACTTGGGCCTCTATCTCATGAACCAGGAGATTATGATCTGCACCGATATCAAGAGTAGAGGCTTAACTGACCAACACACCCAGGTGCCCCTAACTGAAAGCTTTTGTTTCAATCATTTGTGTTCTATGGTATTTCAGGATTTTAAGACACTCAAACATGTTAATTATGTGATTTTTATTTCCTTTTTCTGAATATACAAAGAAGTAAAAGAAGTAAATAGAAGAGTATGTCTGTGTCATGACTATGGAGTGAAATAAAAATCTATGGGATGAAGATCTGTTTGATTTACAACCTCTATTCCCAGAGGTCAATAGCTCTACTGCATAAAGGTGACTGCCTTCATTGCCCAGTGGAAACTGATGTGAGGTGGGCCAGAAATAAATGCTCAAGGAAATATCTTTAGGCTTTTTTGCTCAATGAAACTCTTTGTTAAAGCACAGGGTCAGTATCCAGAGGCAGAATGAGCTGCAATGTGACTGGGAGGAACCACTGATTAAATAATTCTATGTGGGGGGTAGGGTGTAGAAATAATAGATGTTTTAAAGGATTTTAATATGTTAAAGAAGACTTACAGGATACTGGAAGTCTGGCTATTGTCAAGCTAAGATTGCTTTGTGCCTCTAGAAAAGTATTAACATTAAAGCAGTTGTGAATTCCTTGAGGAACATCTTCCTCTGCCAGTCTCAAGTATTTGTCAATGGGTTGCAAGTTGTAAGAAAACTTAATTTTATCTGCATTTCTTTTCCTTTGTTCTCTTCAACAGAAACTACAAGGAAGCAGTTCCTGGGTGGCTCATTCAGTTAAGGGTCTGACACTAGATTTCAGCTCAGATCAAGATTTCATGGTTTTGTGAGTTCCAGTCTTAAGTCTGGGTCTGCACTGACCCTGTGGAGCCTGCTTGGGATTTGCACCATCTCTCTGCAACTCTCCTGTTCTCACTCCGTCTTTCTCAAAACAAACAAACAAACTTAAAAAAAATACAAGTAAAGAGAAACTAGGAGAGAGAAGTTTCCAGTTTAAATGTCTGGAAATCGCTCAGGGAATCTGCCTAAAATCGTTACAACTGATAAGAAGGAAAATATGAACTTTACAGAGAGGAAATCTGGCAGAGAGCTGAAAGTCAAGTAAAAAAAAGTTAACAACAACTTTAAGGAAATAAATTTATATCACTGCCTAAGGCATAGTTCTGGACACAGGATCACTGGTATGTTCTTGAGACCCCCAAACAGTAAATCAGAAATATAAACAACTTTGAGGATACAGTGGATTTATACAGCCTTCAATCACATATAGTTTCCATGTCTTGTAATATCTAGTATCCTGTAGTATATCGTAGAGAATCTTTTCCACATCCTAAAGAACTAGAGTTCCTTTCTGATGGATGTGGGGGGGGAGGAGGGATGGGCATGGAGGAGGGCACTTGTGGGGATGAGCACTAGTGTTATATGGAAACTAATTTGACAATAAACTATTTGTAAAAAAAAAAAATGAATATTGGGGAAAAAAAAGAACTAGAGTTCCTTTTTCTGAGAACATTCCGAATTATTCTGTGTCTCATACCCATCTTGTGTATTTGTCCATTTTAATACCTACTCTAGGGGCGCCTGGGTGGCTTAGTCGGTTAAGCGTCCGACTTTCGCTTAGGTCATGATCTCACGGTTCATGGGTTCGAGCCCCGCGTCGGGCTCTGTGCTGACTGCCAGCTCAGAGCCTGGAGCCTGTTTCAGTCTGTGACTCCCTCTCTCTCTGACCCTCCCCTGCTCACGCTGTCTCTCAAAAAAAAAAAATCCTAAAAAAAAAAAAAAAAAAAAACCTACTCTACCCAGAGCAGAGAAATCATTGACGTCAGACCTAAACGGGAACCGTGTTATTTTAGTGCAATCCCAGGACCAAACCCCATCAGCAATAGGAAACTGGGACTCAGTATCTTCTGCTCTGGATCTGTCACAAAGGGAATATTTTCAATACTTGCAGGACTTTAATTCAAAGTGACAACTGTTGATGCCCTACTGGAAGCCAGGTTGGAGAGAAGGGAGAGAAGTCTCTGGGATACAGGGGAGGAGTGTTCTAAAGACTTAACCTTGAGTATCATTTCTGAGAAGGTTAAAATTAGGTGAAAACATAAAGCAGAAACATTAGAACTAAAAAAAAAATCATTGGTGTGTTTAATTTTCTTTTAGAGAGAGAGAGAGCACGCATGCAAACAGAGGAGAGAAAGAGAGACTAGAATCTTAAGTAGGCTTCATGCTCAGCACTAACCCCAATGCCTAGGTAGATAGCAGGACCCTGGGATCAGGACCTCAGATGACATGAAGAATCTGATGTTCTATGGGATGAGCCACCCAGGTGCTTTGCAATTTCTACATGCATGGAATTTCCCAAGAAAAAGACAACTGGGCCTCCAGCCTGGGACGCAAGGCTTACCTGAGAACTGGCCATTTCTTCTTCTTTCACCTTGTCCTCTAGATTTTTTTTCTCAGAAGATATTTGTGGAGAAATCACAGCTGAATTAGGAGGAAATGTCTTTAAAGCCTCCAACACAGCCTCTTCATCTATAAACTGCCCACTTGCAGGCAGGACTTTGTAATGCAGAAAAGGCCCAACTTCCTAGTCTTTGTGTCAGGGGCTACTCAGAAACTATGGGCGCCCACTTGGAGACCAATCTCTGAGTTTTCCTTCTCTGTTTTCAGGGGCATCCCCTCCCACAGAAGCCCGCAAATTCTGCTTGAGCATAGGAACAGTGTGCTGCATGGACCTGACCCTCCCCAACCCCTATGGAGGAGACCCTGTCGCCTCTCCTTGAACCAAAGCTTGCACTCAACTCTCATAAACTAATGGGAAGCCTTCGTGCTTAACTCTGTGATCACTGAGAATTATGATAGGAAAGTATACGATTCTGTTTACAGAAAATTAAAGATTAGGAGCTGAGGTCCCTGGGTGGGGAGAAACACATTTTAGAACAATACTGGGAGTGGCCAACCACAGCAAGCCCCCTCAGACATAAGGTGCCTCGTAAGACAATAACAGACACCTACCCACTCCCAGTTTTCCCTCAATAGTATGACTAAAGACCTAACTAAAAATAAGTAGTAGACCAAAAAGCTTAGAACCCCCAAGAAACACTATGGTCATAGACCACCCCTCGTGCAATGGAAACACACCAAGAGAATGTCCACTCTCTGTAAAGAGATTTCCTACAACTCTTCCTTTCTTACACTCTCATAAACTTTTGCCTGCTGCTCATTTTGTGTCTACCTCTTTATTATTCAAAGTGGTGAGGCAAGGAATCCTGGGTATTGAGGGGAAAAATCCCGCAACAGAATCACCTGGAGCACTTCACTAAAACAACACTATGGTTTCCACTCACACCAATTGACAGAATCTGAGGGGGCAGCAGCAGCAGTGACCTTTTCTGAAACTCCACCGGTGATCCTATTGCGAAGCATTTGGGGGAGGTAACCAAGTGAAAAACCGTAAACAAGAGTGTGGTTCTTACCCAGATTTAAATCCTTTCCTTCTCCACAGATCAGAGTTTCTGGAGATTAACACATTCTCCCTCTTTCTGCTTCACAGAGGGAGACACCCTTCCAAACAGGAACATCCCCTTATACATGCAAATATCTCTTATAAAGGAAACTCTACTTACAAAGGAAACTTATAAAAGTATAGTGTTGAACAGAAATCAAAATGGACACATTAAACCATCAACGAGGCTTGATACTAAACCAAGTAACTTCTTTTTGAGTGAGCTGGGAAAGAGCAGAGAGAGGGAGACACGGCTCCAAACAGACAGCAGAGAGCCTGGAGTGGGGCTGGAACTCTGTGAGATCATGACCTAAACCAAAGTGGGATGGTTAACTAACTGAGCCACCCAAGCACCCCTCTTAGCCTTTTTTTGTTTTGTTTTTAATGAGAAACCCAGTACCACCCTGAACACAGGATGAACAAGGCTGGCAGCACAAACAACTCCTGTTGAAACCAGGTGGGTCCTGTAGTTCCCTACAACCCCCCAGCCCTTCCTCTGGGTGGGCTTGCAGTTCTGAAGGCCCTAGCCTGCCTCAGCCTCCCCAGCCTCCCAAACCAAGAAACCAACTGTTCCTCTTTATCCCAAACTCTGTCTTCATGTTATATTTTGACTCTGGAGCACCAAGGTCAGTTTTCAACTACAGAATGAATGTGTAGGAGATGAGAATATTTTTTCTTCACCTGTTCTCAATTCTTTGGCTGGTTTAATAAACTGACGTAAGACAGTTCACAAGAGAAGAAAATATTTCTTATTATAGGAACATCAATGACTTGAGGCTCAAAGACAGAGGGATGGATGATGGTTATGTGCCATTGTGACTTAAGGAGAGGGGGTAGGGATTTAGAATTTCAGAAAGGGGAAGTACATTCACAGGAAAAAGGACATAGTAAATGTTTGCCCATGCCAGGCAGTTGACTTTTTATAAAAGGTTTTTCTCTAGTATTAGCTCTTTTCCTGATAGAGGTCCCTCATCTAATTTATACTTGGTATATCAGTCTCAGAGGAAATCTTCCCTTGCTGCAGCAGAATAATGCTAAAGAACATTTTGTTTTCTCACTGGGTACCTTCCAGTTTGTCTCTTGACTCAGGAGGGAGACCCTAAGGACAAAGCAAACCTGAGCGGAACTGGAACTACCCCCTCAGGTCACAAGGACTTCCCTGAGACAGAAAGACCCCACCCCAGACAATGACAGATTTAACCTTCACTGCCTACCTGCAGGTACCCACTCACTTTGGCCCCACATCTCACTGACACAAACCTGGAAGTATTTCCCACACATCAGAGTCAGGAGAAAACAACCACTGAGCACACTAACCAAGAAAAATAAGCAAGGTAAATCATGAGCAAAGAATGTATGGATAATATTAATACAGACAAAAATGTAAGTAATTTATTGGCAACTGACATATGGCTGATTCCTATTTGAATTAAATCCCATCTTAAAATGTGCTGACTTGAAAATTGTCACCCACAAACCTAAAACATAAAAAACAAAATCAAAATTAATTAATGTTGTGGGAACTATCATAGAAAAGGAAGCATAATTAACAGAATTCTCAAATAAGAGAAATTTTAACCCTCAAACTCCTGAATAAATCATAGATATTTGTTATAAAAGGATCCCACTTAAAAACACTAAATTATTTTTTTAAAAAAGCCCTCCACTTCCAAGTATTATTGATAAATAACAAGGAGTAGAAATGAGAATGGAAGGAGTAGCCAATAGCATTTAATGTCACCCAACATTTAGAGTTGTCACTCATCTACAGTAAAGGATGATGGTACCTTAGGGCGCCTGGGTGGCTCAGTCGGTTGAGCGTCCGACTTCGGCTCAGGTCATGATCTCATGGTTCATGGGTTCGAGCCCCGCGTCGGGCTCTGGGCTGACAGCTCAGAGCCTGGAGCCTGCTTCAGATTCTGTACTGCCTTCTCTCTCTGAACCTCCCCTGCTCACGCCGTCTGTCTGTCTGTCTGTCTCTCTCTCAGAAATAAACATTAAAAAAAAAAAAAAAAGGATGATGGTACCTTGAGAAGGGGGCACTAAAGTTGAAGATATGAAATATCATGAGGATTTTTATCTCAACATCTAGAAATCTCTATTTCTTTCCCTTACAACAGGGATCTGAATCCCAGTCATACAAAAGTAATCTTCCAGGAGACATTCATCAAAGAAAGTAACAAAGCCCCAAGTGTGGATTTTCCCTTACATAAACCTGGAAGTATTTCCCGCACATTAGAGACCATCTTTGAGAGATTAGCTCTCTTCCCCGTGTCGGCCTCCCTGAAATGACTTCATTTCTTGTTTTGCCACTTCTATTCTCTCTGCCTTTGGATTCTGTCAGCAGCGAGTGGCCAGATCTGGTCTGTTTGGTACCCCAGATACAGGTGCTCTTGCACCCTCCCTGCACACCAGGGAACAGCACAGGGATGAGTGGTAACAAAAAAAGAAAGGAATTTTCTTCAGTGCGGCTGACACCGAGAAGGCAGCGGGCTAACATCTCAAACATTGTCCAGACTGCTGAAAATTCTTCCAGGTTCCTATAAAGAAAATGTAGGACAAAGGGTGGTGGTACATGCAGGTGGTGAAGGTCAGGCTGATCACTGTGTTGCTGTCAGGCAGGTAGGGTCTTGTTGGGTCAGGGGAGTCCCTGTTGCTGGAAGGGATGGTTTCCTTTCCCATCCTGGGATGCTTTGCCTAGTAGGGCTTCTACAGGAGCTAAAAGATAAACTGGCAAGAAGGACTGAATTAGAAAGTATAGATGAAGATCAAAATAGAGACAGATGAAGGCACTTCTGGGTCTTCTTTCCATTCCACAATGTCTGTGTATATTTAAAAATTTGAGTGACCATTAGGGGCACCTGGGTGCGCCTAGTCGGCTAAGCATCCAACTTCAGCTCAGGTCATGATCTCGCAGTCTGTGAGTTCAAGCCCCACATTGGGCTCTGTGCCTACAGCTCAGAGCCTGGAGCCTGCTTCTGATTCTGTGTCGCCCACTCTGTCTGCCCCTCTGCTACTCAAGCTCTGTCTCTCTCTTAAAAATGGATAAATGTTAAAAAATATTTTTTTTAAGTTTGAGTGACCATTAGATGTTCAGAAATGGAAAACAGGGTGCTCCATGGGTTGGCTCTTGAAGCTCCCATGGCATAATTATGGAGAGTCCACACACACATGGACATTCCAAAGTCGGGCAGGCAAAATGAGGTCTATATGTCATCCTGAACCAAGGAGAAGGCAGTAGGAGTCTAGGGTTTCAAGGAAATGCACTAACAGAGTGTAGGAGAGGTGCAGGTGTTTGGGTAGAGGTTCAGGACAGCCCCCTCGCCCCCAGAATTCCCACTTTGGCATGTAGATCATTCTGAGCTGAAAGCACTTGAAAATCCCTATGGTCTCCGGGGAAAGTTTGTTCCCCCTTAGCCACATAGAATAATCTATATTGGAGGTCCTTTCCAGAATAAAGGTTATTAACAAATAAAATTTCTGAGAGCGACTCATCTGTATGGGAGGGTAAATGTCTTATCACCAAACTTCTTTTTCTATCACCCTGTGAAGCACATTCCTTTCCTTGAGATTCCAGGTCCTACCCACTTCTCAGTTCAGAATCACATATGTACCTCATTTTACCTGTCTTTAAAATGTCCATGTCTCTGTGAATTTCTTGTGTATATGCCATTATGTACACTTGATTTTCTCCCGTTAATCTGTCTTCTGTTAATTTGATTCTTAGTCCAGCTAGAAAGACCCCTGAAGGGGCATGAATTCTTGCCATCTGACACAGGTAATTAGATGTTTGCTCTGCCATGGATCAGTCAGATAAAATTTATCCTCTGTAATAACCCTTGTTTTAGAAAGGGTACCCAATTTAGAATCCTCTATGTAGTTAAGGGAGGAACCAAAGTTTCTCTGGATCCCAC